CCACATATAGAGGCTTGACCGCCTGCCTCCATATGTCATTCTCCTTACTAACTACAATCGGTTGTATCTTTTAGTAAGGTGGCGGCTGCATTTATGTGTTTGTAGAAGATGACCAGTTTGTGTGTGTTTTTGTTTATTGTTTGTGTAGTGATAATGCTGGATAAACTATGCAGTTCCCATTCTGCATGTTTATACAAACCCTTATATGGTTTTATCTTGTGTTTATACTAACTATTTTACAATGTTCAGGGGTACATCTATGTATATCAGCTTGTATTCCTCTATATTCCTAATCAGAAACTCCCTGCAGTTATGAGCTTTTGGGTATGGACACCATACTCAGGACTTTTCAAGTGGTCTTCCTAATTAGTGTTTTTGTGGATTTCCAAACACAGATCTACTGTAACCTAATATGGATTTATCTTGTGTTTACACTGATTATTTTACAATGTTCAGGGGTACATCTATATATATCAGCTTGTATTCCTCCATATTCCTAATCGGAACAAACTCTCTGCAGTTATTTGCTTTCTGATATGGACACCATAACATGGATCACTGCAGATTTGTTACCAACTTTACTTGGTTTTGTACTACAAATTACAGCCAATAAGCCAACATTTCTAATTAAGTCGACATACCAATTAAGGCATACAAGAGTTTTTAATTTTCAATATTTGTTGCCAGTGGGAATTGAACCTTAGACCTTGTCACTTGGGGTGAAACAACTTGACCACTTCACTAAGTCGCCACACTCATATTAATTTATTTATAAAAACTGCTTAAAATAGATAAAAATAATATTTTAAGCAAATAGAAATTACTATTTTCTTTATTTTCTTTAGATTCTAAATAATAGTTAGGTTAGCTGATTTTGTAATAAACTATTCTGAAAGCAATAGTTCTAATAAAGAACAATTTGTATAACAATCTGAGTTTGAAACATATTCATATTGCCTTCTATTAAGCTAAAAACATAATGCTTAAAGTGTATTGTAATGTCTTAAAAGATCAAGGTCAATTCTTTTCTTATTTGTATATAGTACAAAGGCTTTAAATAAACTATGCATGTTCTTTTTAACACCACAAGTAGTATTGACTAAAGATTCATAATTATTAGCATTTACAATTAGATGTGCATTGATATGAAAATTTAAAAGATAAAGAAAAGAATCTGAAAATATATAATAATTTTAACATAATAAATAAATAAATTTTGTAAATACTAGACATAATACTAAAACAAAATACTATGTTTAGCAATTGTAAAACCCTAATAACAAGCATATCAATAGCAAAGTTCTATAAGTGCCAGGTACAGTACTATGCATAGTGCTTTAAAAGTCTTATATTAGTTTAATTAAAAAATGCAATTGCGATAGTAATAATCATTAAATAATTTTTTACATATAAAATTCAAATTATAATATCGTTTAAACTAGCATATTATGCAAATAAAAATTACATTATTAGACTTCTATTAATATGTTTTTTAATGTAATAACATTTTTTTTAATTTTTTTGATTATATTGTACAAAGATAAAATTCAGTTATTAAATTAAATAATTTCTAAGAAAAATTAAAAAAAAATATTACCATAAGAGAAGTTTAATAAATGTAATTTTATTATTTTTTTTTTAAAAAAAAATTGATTAATAATTATTATATATTCACATTATGTTAATAATTAGATCTGGATGTGGTGATCTAGTGAAGTAGTTAGGTTGTCAACCTTCCAAGTAGTAGATTTGGTGTTCAAATTCCATCAACAACAAAAATTTGGATAATCACCTATGTAATATTCATATTATAGCAACTGTTACTAATGATTGAGTTAGAATACCTGTAATGGCAGTTGCACTAGCATAACTGGCAGGTTATAGGTCATTCATATAACAGTCATATGATATTGTTTTTTGAGACAAGGTTTGTAGTTATATAAAGGAATGCAAACTGGAAATCAGATGATGCAAATACTAGATAAGTTCTTGTATTTATATAAAATTGTTAAAATTGAGTAACAAGAAGTCTATTTGGGAAGACCTAAGTAGAGAGATAGCTGGATCTTTAACAATCTTACTGTAAAAACTAGCCTAAGAAAACAGATATCAAGGTCATAATACCTAGTTGTAGTAGCAAAATGAGCAAGAACCTTTGGGTTGGAAGTCTTAGAAGTATTACCAACTAGGCTGCCAGAATGAATCAAAGAAAAAGAATATTGGACTAATCTGATATACTGATGAACTGGTCATAGTCCTATACAGGCTATCTGGATTGGAAGTTTAATAAAAAGGCAAATGAAAAGGCAGAGATATACTAAAGTACTGAAGTTATACTAAGAAGTAGATAATAGGGTTTAAGTGAACTCTACAAAAGCATAGCAGTTTAATAGTTAAGTTCTAATTGCAAGTGTTAGTTCTGCTATAGCAATATCTAGATCAGCTGTAAAAATAGATACAAAAGACTCTGGGGAGTTTATCTTAAGAATAAAATAGTTCTAAGGTTGAAACAATAATTTGGGTATCAGGTATGACCCAGTGAAGTTAACAGGTTTGTAGGTTTAGAGGATTTAAAGTAGAATACTCAAGCTAGGGTGTTAGATATAGCAATTGGTAGAAAACCTTTAGGTAAACTTCTTAAATAATTAATATAGAAAAGTTACACATGTAGCCAATTATATACTCTTCTTGTAGTAGTTCACTGAACTATATTTACTATTGTTAAATAAAGTCAAAAGACCCAAGAGATCATCTTATTACCAAAAAATAATAATAATAATAATAAGACCAATATGAAACTCTTTAGTAGCATCTTAATTAATAAATACCTTTATTAAGTAGTCATGTTCTTTTTTTAATGCTTTGGACAATGTTTTAAAATATTATTTTTTAAAAATGTAATAGTGAACAAATGCTTTATAGAAAGAAAAAGAGAAGTTTAACACTTTATAATTATACTGATTACCTAATCTTAGTGTTGACATTCTGCTATGTTTAAGAGATTAGTAAGCACATTTTCTTTTATATATTGAGTTGCTAAGAAGCAACTTAAAATAAAAGGCATTAGCATTACAAGATAAAGAAAATTTAACATTATGAAACTTTTTTGATAAGTAATAGGATTTGGTAATTTGGACCAAAATTTTGGCAATTCAATTGATTTCTATATCTTTAAAAAAGCATCATTTTTCTTATTATTAAAAAGTTCTAATATACACTTATTTAATCTTTTTACTTTTTTAGCCATCACATGATAGATATCTTAAGGACATTGTTGGTGTCTATCATAGTATAGTTGGCTTAAAATATTCTTTTCTAAGCATAAACCATACTTTATAGCAACTTTTATTTTGTTTGTCAAATTTTTTTAAGACTCTATTTTAGAAAATTGCATATTTGTAATATAATAATAATGTGCATGTTTTATAATAACATAGTTATTGTTGGACAGTTCTTGTGTTTTTGTTTTACAGTTTCTATACTCACAGTTAGCTTCATGTTGTTTAACTTCACTAAGATCATTTTTCTGAAGTAAATCAGTAGTAACTACACCTAAACCACCTTTTATATAAACTTCTTCTTCATTATATAAAGTCTTTACAAAAAAAATAAATAAAATTAAAGTTAATAAAATTAATAAATAAAATTAGTAAAAGATAAAAATAAATAAATAAATAAAATTACTGTACAGGGGTGTGGCGACCTAGTGAAGTGGTCAGGTTGTCAACCCCCCAAGTGGTAGGTTGGGTGTTCAAATCCCATC